GGAAGTAGGAGTTGGCAGGGCCTCTAGCACCTTCCTGGATATGGTCCCAACCTAACTTCCCAGCCCCATCTCCCACTATTCTATCCAACCCATCTAACCATGTCCCTTATATTCCTGTTATGTCAAACAGCCCACTGGTTTCCACAAATGCCACATTTTGAACACGCTCTTTTCACTCACCTTTCCTACTTGGCAAGCTCTGATACATCTTTCCAGACTTTTCTCCAACATGACTTTCTTCCAGAAAACTTTGCAACCCCAAGCAATGTTATAGAGTCGCCGTCTTCTGGTTTCACCACGTTGGCCAGGCTGATCTCGAACTCCTGACCTCAAGTGATCCTCCTGCCTTGGCCTCCCAAAATGCTGGGATTACAGGTGTGAGCCACCGCGCCCAGCCTGGTCAATTGTTTTATTTTTTGTAGAGATGAGGTTTTCCTATGTTGCCCAGACTGGTCTTGAACTGTTGAGCTCAAGCAATCTGCCCGCCTCATTCTCCCAAAGTGCTGGAGTTACAGGCGTGGGCCACTGTGCCTGGCCTGAAATGCAATTTTTTTTTTTTTTTTCTTTGAGATGGAATCTCGCTCTGTTGCTGAGGCTGGAGTGCAGTGGGCGATCTCGGCTCAGCGCAAGCTCCGCCTCCCGGGTTCACGCCATTCTCCTGCCTCAGCCTCCCAAGTAGCTGGGACTACAGGCACCCGCCACCACCCCTGGCTAATTTTTTGTATTTTTGAGTAGAGACGGGGTGTCGCCGTGTTAGCCAAGATGGCCTCGATCTCCTGACCTTGTGATCTGTCCGTCTCAGCCTCCGAAAGTGCTGGGATTACAGGCGTGAGCCACCACACCTGGCCAAATTTTATACTGATTTTTGCACAATATAAAAAGATGCTCCTTGCTGGTTTTTTTTTTTTTCATTGCATCAAAATATTCCTATGTTGAACTTTATTACTGATACCGTTTCAGCAAACTTATATTTATTATTCAGAAGATTTGTTATTATGGTATTTTTTAAAACTTTAAAAAACATACTCAAAATTTGTTATTGCTTCCTTTTATGTGCTTATTTTTCATATTTTATTGTAAATTCTTGCATTTATAAATATTAAAGCACTGCACCCTAACTATTCACAAGAATGTCAAAGCATCAGCAATGTAATCAAACTAGAAACAATAGAACCAAAATAGAAGGAATAGAAATGATGTAATTTGAAGATAATAATAAACTGGCTATTCTTCTGCATCTTGGAATGCTCCCTGCCCAGCAGAATATTTCTCACATTTATTTTCACAGGAGACATTTTATCATCAGAGCATTTCTATAGCACTGGATGATAAACTAAACAGTTTATATTAGAATTTATATTAGTAATTAATTTTTTTTTGAGACAGTGTCTCTTTCTGTCACCCAGGCTGGAGTTCAGTGGCGCGATCCCGGCTCACCACAACCTGCCACTCCTGGGTTCAAGCAATTCTCCTGCCTCAGCCTCCGGAGTAGCTGGGATTGCAGGCGAATGCCACCACACCTGGCTGATTGTATATGTGTGTGTGTGTGTATGTGTGATGGATTTTTGCTCTTCTTATCCATGCAATGGTGCAATCTTGGTTTACTGCAACCTCCGCCTCCTAGGTTCAAGTGATTCTCCTGCCTTAGCCTCCCTAGTAGCTGGGATTACAGGCACCCACCACCACGCCTGGCTAATTTTTGTATTTTTAGTAGAGATAGGGTTTCGCCACGTTGGCCAGGCTGGTCTGGAACTCCTGACCTCAGGTGATCCGCCTGCCTTGGCCTCCCAAAGTGCTGGGATTACAGGCATGAGCCCCTGCGCCTGGCCTATATTACTAATTAATTTTACCTCTCATTGCAGTTACTGTTATTCTATTTACTAACTGGTATTGAAGATTTCAACAGTTTAGCGTGTTTAAACACACATGCACCTACACACACAGGACAAATTAAGAACAATGAACATGAATCAAATTGACAATTTCCAGTGATTTTAGAGGTAAACTAGAAATCTCCCCTGGCCTCCATTCTCAAATGAAGCCTAAATTTGATCTAGGGTGAACACTTCTTGGGGTGCCTATGTGCCTATGAGTTCTGGGGACTCCGAACGCCCACAGGCTTGTGTTGGAGGCCGCCATAGTTACGTGATCCTGCCTTCCTCAGTCCCATTCCTGGCTTCCAATGATTGTTCAGGGCCCAGCACCCAGCTGAAGTTAGGTTGATCAGAATCCCTTCCTTAAGAATTTGGTGGCCGGGCGTGGTGGCTCATGCCTGTAATCGTAGCACTTTGGGAGGCTGAGGCAGTTGGATTACCTAAGGTCAGGAGTTCAAGACCAGCCTGACCAACATGGTGAAACCCCGCCTCTACTAAAAATGCAGAAAAATTTTTAGCTGGGTGCAGTGGCACGCGTCTGTAATCCCAGCTACTTGGGAGGCTGAGGCAGGAGAATCGCTTGAACCCGGAAGGCGGAGGTTGCAGTAGGCCAAGATGGTACCACCGTACTCCACCCTGGGCGACAGAGCGAGACTTTGTCTCAAAAAAAAAAAAAAAAAAGAATTTGGTTTGGAGACGGGGGCTGCCATTGTCACCATGTAGGAGATCTCAGGCAAGAGAACAAAGCAGGGGCACAGACGGAAGGCGGTTCTCTTTGAGATCCTGGTTCTGCGGGTAGTTTGCTTTTGAAGCCCGACCTGGAACTCTGAGAAGCACACCTGTATCTTTATCTACATTCTTTATTTTTCACTTTATCACATTTGACGTTTGCTATTTGCTACCAACATAGTCCTAACTAAACATTTTTTAGCAAAGCACCCCCTGCCTCCTGCCCCCACTTCTTTTCTGACCCTTGAGGTCAGAAATCCTGCACATTTTGCTTTTCAAATGGATAGGTCCATGGGGCCCATGTTTGGCCTGTGAATGAATACAGGACACGACCCATGTCCAAATGAAGGGCCTATCAGTGGTTTCTTAAAAATACCTTCATGTGGCTGGGTGCGGTGGCTCATGCCTATAATCCCAGCACTTTGGGAGGCCGAAGCCGGTGGATGGCTTGAAGTTGGGAGTTTTGAGACCAGCCTAGCCAACATGGTGAAACCCTATCTCTACTAAAAATAAAAAAAATTAGCCGGGCATGGTGGTGCAGGTCTGTAATCCCAGCTACTCAGGAAGCTGAGGCAGGAGAATCACTTGAACCCACGAGGCAGAAGTTGCAGTGGGCCTAAATCGTGCCACTGCACTCCAAACTGGGCCACAGAGCAAGACTCTGTCTGAAAACAAAAAAACAGGCCGGGCGTGGTGGCTCACGCCTGTAATCCCAGCACTTTGGGAGGCCAAGGCAGGCTGATCGCTTGAAGTCGGGGGTTTGAGACCAGCCTGGCCAACATGGTGAAATCCCATCTCTACTAAGACACAAAAATTAGCAGGGTGTGGTGGTGCCTGCCTGTAATTCTAGCTGCTTGGGAGGCTCAGGCAGGAGAATCACGTGCACTTGGGAGGCAGAGGTTGCAGTGAGCTGAGATTGTGCTACGGCACTCCAGCCTTGGTGACAGAGTGAGATTCTGTCTCAAAAAAAAAAAAAAAAAAAAAAAGCCGGGCGCGGTGGCTCACGCCTGTAATCCCAGCACTTTGGGAGGCCGAGGCGGGCGGATCACAAGGTCAGGAGATCGAGACCACGGTGAAACCCCGTCTCTACTAAAAATACAAAAAATTAGCCGGGCGCGGTTGTGGGCGCCTGTAGTCCCAGCTACTCGGGAGGCTGAGGCAGGAGAATGGCGTGAACCCGGGAGGCGGAGCTTGCAGTGAGCCGAGATCGCGCCACTGCACTCCAGCCTGGGCTGGGCGACAGAGCGAGACTCCGTCTCAAAAAAAAAAAAAAAAAAGTACAGAAAAGGCTAGACTGTAGAGAATCTTTCAGTGAGGTAAGGAATCATTTCCATCCATTGTTGGGTGTACGTGCAATCTTGCTTAAGTTGCTGTCAACTTTTGAAGGCTCCAGATTTTCAGTGTCTAACACAACCACCTGGGCCAGATGTAAGTAAGGACAGGATGACGTAAGGGTGCACAGTAGCAGAAGCAGAAACCCAAGGCCCTAGGTTTTGAGCGTGTGAGGAAGGAGGGTTCTCTCAGCTGACTCTGTCACGGTTCAGAGATCAGCTTGCAGGGACAGACCCTGAAAGCACAAACCCTAAACAATGGAACACACACTCAAGTGTGGGGCCTGCGTTTTCTCATCGTTTCAAGCATATTGTTTAGTCAATGGTTTCATAAGGTACTTCCTTGCGGGAAACCTGACAGTCTGCTCCTTGTCACTTGAACAACTTTAACAATCAGGTAGAAAAGAAAGCTCCCTTCGGCCATTTGAAGTAAGCCCGAGGTCAAACTAGCCTGACACTGGGAGCCCCCAGGAGAGCCTTGAAAACGTGTGCGATCCTGAGTCGGTATGCAGAGGCGATTCTCTGCGAAGAGGACCCTGAGCTTGACCAGCTTCTCGCAGAGTCAAGGGACCACCAAAAGGTGCAGAATTCCGCCTGTCACCGTCCCTCTAGGGATCCGGAAAGAGTAAACCCCGAGAGGCGTCCGAAGGCCGGCAGCTTGGCAGCATTAACTCCGGTTTTCGAGGGCGCGGGCAAAGCCTGGAGTAGCAGTCGCTCCTTTGCTCTGGCAGGAATTTGGCGGTCTACCCTGCAGAGATTCTCCCGTCCTGCCTGCAGCTGGGGTTCAAGACTCGCTTCTCTGAAGTCCGCCTCCCAGCGGCCTGGAGCCCGGGGCGTGGTCGGCTGGAATCTGCTCCCCAGGCCCAGAACAGAGCCTGCAGCCCGTAACCCGCTGTGGCCGCAGCGGGTCGCGCCCGCCGTCCCCGCCTCAGGAGCAGCTGAGGATCTCCCCAGCTGCGGGCGCCCCGCCCGGGCCGCACTCCTTTCCCCGGCGGAGGGAGCGGGCTGGCGCTGCGGCCTTCAAGGCGCGCGGACGTCGCGGAGGGCAGCCAGTCGCGCGGGAGCGGGTAGCGCGCGTGAGGGCGTTGGGCGCCGCCGCGAGGCTGGGAAGCGCGGGTCCGCGGCGGTGCGGGTTCTAGGGCGGCGGCTGCCGCCGCCGCAGCAGCGCCCCGGGCGGGGAGGGCCGAGGAGGCCGGACGAGCTGGGGATGGAGAGTACCAGGCCCCTCACTGCCTCAGAGCGCGTGTGCGGCTCCGGGCGCGCACAGTGACGGTGACAGCGACCCTGGCCCGGCAGCGCCGAGGCCGCTTCGCCAGACAGCCCGCGACCGGCGGCAGGCCGGGCCATGAGGAGCGGCCGGGGCCGGGCCGGGCCTCGCTGACCCCGGCTCCGCGCGGCGGCCTCCCCCGTTTCCGCTCCGGCCTCTCGGCATGAGAGTCAGCCCGGGCCCGGGGCTGCGGCTGCCCCAGACTCGCCGCCAGCTGGCGCGCTCCGGGGCCGCAGACCCGCGGTGCTGATACCTGCGCCGCGCTACGCCGCCAGCCCGCCCACTGTGTGCCCCGGGGGCGCGGCCATGGAGGTGGTGGGCGACTTCGAGTACAGCAAGAGGGATCTCGTGGGACACGGGGCCTTCGCCGTGGTCTTCCGGGGGCGGCACCGCCAGGTGAGCGCCGGCCGGGGCGAGGCCGGGCCCCGGGCGGCAGGCACGGGGCTAGGTGGTTCTGAAACTTGGCGCAGCCGCGGGCCGAGCCCCCCGCCACGGCTAGCCGCCTGGGGATGCTATTGTGCGCGCAGCCCGTCTCGCGGTTTGTTTTGGTCCTTTGAGGGTTGTTGTGAGGCCCAAGCCTCTGGCAGCGCTCCGCCTACCGACCGGCTGCTGCTGACCCTCCTGTGTGCCCGGGACCCACCCCGCGGGCCGATCGCAGGAGCCTTTGCACCCAGGTTGCCCTCGACCCAAAATAGACGGTACTGCCCCGTGCAGACTCGAGGCTTGGGCGTGAATGGACCTTTGGTTTTTTCCCCCGTGCCCAGGGCTGGTCACCTTTGAGGTTGATAATTACAGACCCATCGGAAAATGGGCGATGTCCCATTAGCCTCAGGCTTTCTCAGCCTGGGAGGTGTCACCTTTCTCAGCACTGGTCCCCTGCACCCCGAAGAGCCCCGGCACCGTTTTCTCCCCCGGAGTCAGATAGATGAGCTCCGGGTGAGAAAGGTGATTGGACAATTCATTTTCAATCACAATGAACATGAAATCATGTTTAAGCCTTAAATTTTTTTTTTTTTTTTTAGCCTTTGCTATTTCGCAAGTACAGTTACACGAGGTTTTAGAATCTAAAGAATTTGCAAAGGCATATCGGGAGTGAAAATAATCTTAAAGGGTGTGGCAGTTCTGATTGTTGCCAAGGGGCGTGTTAAAAGTGGGCTGACTTTGTTGCTTATCGGATAAAGTAATGCTACTTTTCTTATTTATTTATTTATTTATGAGACACTCGCTTTGTCGCCCAGCCTGGAGTGCAGTGGCGAGATCTCTGCTTACTGCAACCACCGCCTCCCGGCTTCAAGCGATTCTCCTGCCTCAGCCTCCCGAGTAGCTGGGATTACAGGCGCCTGCCACCACGCTCGCCTAATTTTTTTTTTTTTTTTTTTTTTTTTTTTTGTATTTTTACTAGAGACTGTGTTTCACCACGTTGGCCAGGGTGGTCTTGAACTCCTGACCTCAGGTGATCCGATCCGCCTGCCCTGGCCTCCCAAAGTGCTGGGATTATACGTGTGAGTCACTGCGCCCGACCTACTTTTCATTTATTAGGAAAATAATTTAGAACTCAAGAAAAACAAGGTGTAATCATTCCAAACTAACAAGTTTTCAGTTAACCGTATCACCTTCCAAGTTTATTTCTACATTTGTCCATAACTTTGAAGTGGTTGTGAACTGTTCTTTTTTCATTCAATGTTAGTTACTATGTGGACTTCATATTTGTTATTTTTAGTAGTTGTGTTGTAGGACCTTGGCATATTACACTATAATTTATGAAGTCACTTTCCCATGATTGAAAATACAGGTTCTTTTCCATTTTTCCCCAATGCCGTACATTTATTTGCTAAAAACATCTGTGGAATATCTAGGAGTAACACTGTTTTTCTTTTTCAGAAAACTGATTGGGAGGTAGCTATTAAAAGTATTAATAAAAAGAACTTGTCAAAATCACAAATACTGCTTGGAAAGGAAATTAAAATCTTAAAGGTATGTTACTTTATATAGTAGTATTCATATAAGGTTAAAACTTAATTTAAGTGAATGCATGCTGCCATCCTTTGTAGTTTGGTAGTTGGGTCTAAGTTTGAGAATTTTCAACTGTTGCTCTCCTTTTTGCATGCTCACTTTTTTAAAACATTGAGTACTTAGAAGCTGTTTTTAAGAACCAAAGCTCAGAGGGATTCTGTGAAGACTGAGTTTAGCTTCTCATCATTTCTCCTTTTTCCTAGTGACTGTGTTGTTGTTTGAGAAGAGGGCCAGGCAGACCCATCTTGTACACTGTTTTTACTTCTCCGGTTGTCCCCTTTCATGTTACTACTAAGTTTTTTGGGGAGAGTAGGGGCACTGGGGGTCTTTAAATGGAAGACAGTTACATTCTTTGGAGGTGGCTTTTTTAGATCACTCACAACCAGTGTTATCTAAGTGAGATGGTTTGAGAAGATGGTTAAGTAAATTTGGAAAACCCCATTTGCTAAATACTTCTTGGAGAGTCACAAAGCCTATGGCTCATTAAAGAAAGTCTGAAAAATTCTACAATGAAGAAACTGGTTTCAAAGTACTTAACGTAGCGTTTTCCAAACTAACACAAGTGTGGAACCCTCATTTAACACCCGATTTCTTCAAAACTGCTTTCTGTCGAGAGCTCTTTGCTAAGAATTGTAGCACTTTGAACTAAAAATCATATTTTCTTTTAGTGAGATAATGTGCTTTTTGTTTGATCAGGCACATTTCTTATTCTTGAATTGGATTTTTCTAGTCTATTAATAAAAGTGTAATACTAGAAGTAGTGTGTAAGTGTATACTTTAATTTTATTTACATATTAAAATATAGTAAAAGTATTAGAATACTTACATATTTTTCATTCTCAATTTTCTTAATAGGAACTTCAGCATGAAAATATTGTAGCACTCTATGATGTTCAGGTACCTTATTTTGAAATTTTTTAAAAATTAAAAAAATTTTTTCTATTTCATACAGATTTAAGTGACTCTTAATAGAAATAAAAATGACTTTAATTCTTGTTGAAAAGATACATAGCTTGAGTTACATGTTTCTGAATTAAGAAATTATTTAAAACAGAACAGAGTAATAGGCTGAAAGAATATGCTGCATGAGTAAGTTTATTAACGATTGATAATATACTATAGAGGTAGCATTGTTTTAGGTGAGGTAGAGGAATATTGATACCAAATCTAGCATTCTCTGATGAATGTTGAAAGGACTATTAAAAATAGACCTTTTTTTTTCTTCTTCTTTTTTTTTTTTTACGGAGTCTCACTTTGTCTCTTGGGCTGGAGTGCAGTGGCTTGATCTCGGCTCACTGCAACCGCCACCTCCCGGGTTCAAGCGATTCTCCTGCCTCAGCCTCCCGAGTAGCTGGGACTACAGGTGCGCACCACCACGCCAGGCTAATTTTTTTTTTTTTTCTTTTTTGTATTTTTAGCAGAGATGGAGTTTCACCATGTTGGCCAGGCTTGTCTCGAACTCCTGACCTCAAGTCATCCTCCCATCTTGGTCTCCCAAAGTGCTGGGATTACAGGCATGAGCCACTGTGCCCCGCCTAAATAGAAATTTTTTTTTTTTAAAACATTTTTTTATTTTGTGGTGATAGGGTCTCTCTATGTTGTTCAGGTTGGTCTTGAACTCCTGGGCTCAAGGGATCCTTCTGCCTCAGCCTCTCAAAGTGCTGGGATTACAGATGTGAGCCACCACACATGGCCTAAATAGAGCTTTTTCTTATTATGAAAGCACTATTTGTAAATTGAAGAAATGTTAGAAAATAAAAACAAAGACACTATGCATATTCATCACCCAGTTATATCTATGATTATAGGTTATAGATATATTTGTGTATGCTATGGCATGAAGTAGAGTTGCATTTTATTTGGAATGGGAAGTAGGTTCTAAAGTCATCCTCTAAGGCAAAATTTCCGTGTAGTCAAAATTACTCTTGGAAATCCTTTTCAGATCTCAGCATTGTAGAAAATTGCTGTTTTCTGGGTGTAGCACCAGATGAAGCAGCTGGCTTATATTTAGGGCCATCTTACGTTAAAAAATCTTTTAAACGCTAGAATCAGGCTGGGTGTGGTGGCTTGAGCCTGTAATTCTTGCTACTCAGGAGGCTGAGGCAGGAAGATCACTTGAGCACAGGAGTTCAGGGCTGCAGTGAGCTGTGATCATGCCACTGCAGTCCCGCCTGGACAACAGAGCAAGATCGTCCCAAAAAACTAGAATCACGTGTAGCTAGTGCGATACCATGTGAGAGCTGTAGGGACCAGAGACTCTCAGAGGGAACAGCAGATTCTGGTTTTCTCTCCACTGTCACTCCAGGGCAAGTCAGCATGCATGATTTACGTAAGTTCTTTCTTTTGCTTAGTCTGGACAGTTGAATTCGGTTAAGGTAAATGTATATGTTATGTGATCCTATTACATATATATTTCTAGCTAAAACCTCTTCTGTATTCATTTGACAATTTTTTTTTTTTTTTTTTTTTTTTTGAGACAGTCTCACTCTGTCGCCCAGGCTGGAGTGCAGTGGTGTGAGCTTGGCTCACTGCAACCTCTGCCTGCCGGGTTCAAGCAATTCTTGTGCCTCAGTCTCCCAAGTAGCTGGGATTATAGGCGCCTGCCACCATGTCCAGCTAATTTTTGTATTTTTGGTAGAGACAAGATTTCACCATGTTGGCCATGCTAGTCTGGAACTCCTGACCTCAGGTGATCCGCCCACCTCTGCCTCCCAAAGTGCTGGGATTACAGATGTGAGCCACCACTCCCGGCCTATTTTGTAAGTTTTTCAGTGACTGTTATGTGCCAGGCATTGTTCTAAGTGCTAGGAATCAAGCAGTGAATAAAACAAAGTCTTTGCTTTCAATATGTTTAGTTTTAGGCGGGTGAGACAAATGGACTGTTGTATATTTACTTTTTAAAAAATATTGTCATTTTTCTGCTGGGCACTGTGGCTCATACCTGTAATTCCAGGACTTTGGAAAGCCGAGGCAGGCGGGTCACCTGAGGTTGGGAATTCAAGACCAGCCTGCCCAACATGGAGAAACCCCATTTCTATTAAAAATACAAAAATTAGCCAGGTGTGGTGGTAGGTGCCTGTAAAGCCAGCTACTCAGGAGCCTGAGGCAGGAGAATTGCTTGAGCCAGGAGGCAGAGGTTGCAGTGAGCTGAGATTGCGCCATTGCACTCCTGCCTGGGTAACAAGCGAAACTCCGTCTAAAAAAAAAAAAAAATTTTTTTTTCATGTGGTCATATCATAACACAAAGTAACTAAACTCATGTTATGAGATGTTTAAATTTTTTTGGCCAGGTGCGATGGCTCACGCCTGCAATCCGCACTTTGGGAGGCTGAGGCAAGCGGATCACCAGAGGTCAGGAGTTCAAGACCAGTCTGGCCAACATGGCGAAACTCTGTCTCTGCTAAAAATACAAAAATTAGCTGAGCGTGGTGGCGGGCACCTGTAATCCCGGTGACTCAGGAGGCTGAGGCGGGAGAATTGCTTGAACCAGGGAGGCAGAGGTTGCAGTGAGCTAAGATCGTGCCACTGCACTCCAGCCTGGGTGACAGAGCCAGACTCCATCTCGGGGAAAAAGAAAAAGGATGTTTAAGTTTTTCCTAAAAAGAAAAATGCTGTAAGAATTATGTATACCTTCTGAACATATTTTTGATTATTTAACTTCAATTTCTAGAATTGGAAAGACCAAGTCAAATAGCATGCACAGTGTTAAAGTTTTTGATTGTAGAGTATGATTGCTTTACAAAAACTTTACAATTTAAACTTCCATTCATGGAATATGTGAATCCAGTGGGTATATTTTATTACCTGTTCAGATAGCTGTAATTCGTTTCTTCATTTGAGAAATTCAAAGCAGCATAAAAAGGGGAGAAACCTTTCAAGTCAAAACTAAACTCATCTCTTCTCTCAGTCCCTAGTTGAAATGTTGGTTCTCCTCACTGCTGTTTGTATAGTTTGTCTTAGTCTCTGTAGACAGAGGGCACCAAGTGGTACAACTCAGTGCCTAGTACAAAAACTGTTAAATAATGTTAACTCTTTAGTTTCCCAATCTTGGAGATATGCAGAAAACCCTGGCAATTGCAGAGTAGGTTTCGTTTTGAAAGTATACTTAGATTATTTTCTATCAGAATGAAAAGTATTTTTTAGTACCAGCTTTGATTATAGAATGAGGTATCATTAGGGAGAACATACTAAAAAATGTGAATTGTTAAACAATCAGGAATTTCACAGTGACTGCATTAAAATGTTGTTTTATTTTGTACATGGTATACTATTAGAACTAATATTTTTTTTTTTTTTGAGAAGAAGTCTCACTTTTGTTGCCGAGGGTAGAGTGCAATGGCATGATCTCAGCTCATTGCACCTCTGCCTCCTGGGTTCAAGGGATTCTCCTGCCTCAGTCTCCTGAGTAGCTGGGATTAAGGTGGGAGTTGCATTGGCCAGGAATCGAACCTGGGTCTCCTGCATGGGAGGCGAGAATTCTACCGCTGAACCACCAGTGCTTTGAAACTTCTACCACTGCACTACCAGTGCTTTGAAACTAATTTATAAAAACAAACTTAAGAAGTATCAGGCTGAGCGTGGTGGCTCATGCCTGTAATCCCAGCACTTTGGGAGGCCAAGGCAGGCGGATCACCTGAGGTCAGGAGTTTGAGACCAGCCTGACCAACATGGAGAAACCCTGTCTCCACTAAAAATACAAAATTAGTCGGGCATGGTGGCACATACCTCTAATCCCAGCTACTCGGGAGGCTGAAGTAGGAGAATCTCTTGAACCCAAGAGGCGGAGGTTGCGATGAGCCGAGATCGCACCATTGCACACCAGCCTGGGTAACAGGAGGGAAACTCTACCTCAAAAACAAAACAAACAAACAAGAAGTATTAATCAGATGTCTTAAACGTTTGGCTGTTAAACAGAGTCTTGACCTAATACTTTATATTTGTTTTCTTGATTCAAATTGTTCATCAATGGGTACAGTATGTTTAGGAACTAATATAGTAACTGTCAACTCGGAGTGAATGTCATTTTTACTGACCATTAGTTTTGGTTATCTGTCTGAAGTTTATAAATTGAGAACTTTTGACATTGTAAAAATCAGCTTTCAGTTTAGATGAGACTTAAAAAGAAATGCATTTTCCCTCTTGATTCCAAAAGTAATATATGCCCACAGTTAAAATAATCAAATACTGTGCAAATGGTAAATTAGAAAAGAGATGGCAGTTCCCAGAGATAACCACTGTTTGGTATATTTTAGAATTTTCTAAATATGTATATCAGTCTATAACCATTTATACTTGTATACATTTATACTTGGTTTTTTTTTTTTTTTTTTTTTGGGACGGAGTCTCGCTCTGTCGCCCAAGCTGGAGTGCAGTGGCGCGATCCTGGCTCACTGCAAGCTCCGCCTCCTGGGTTCACGCCATTCTCCTGCCTCAGCCTCCCGAGTAGCTGGGACTACAGGCGCCCGCCACCGCGCCCGGCTCATTCTTTGTATTTTTAGTAGAGACGGGGTTTCACCGTGGTCTCGATCTCCTGACCTTGTGATCCGCCCGCCTTGGCCTCCCAAAGTGCTGGGATTACAGGCGTGAGCCACCGCGCCCGGCCTATACTTGGTTTTTAAAGCTTTTCATTTTGAGAGAAATGGTAGTGTTTGTACAGAAGTGCAACATGTTTTATTAAGCTTGATGTGTCTTAGATACTTTGTCATAATCAGTATAGGTATTGTAGGGCTAAATGATAATTTACTTAAAACCCAATTATAAGCCAGGCATGGTGGCTCACACCATAATCTCAGTGCTTTGGGAAGCTGAAGCAGGAGGATTGCTTGAGGCCAGAAGTTCAAGACCAGCCTGTGCAACTTAGTGAGACCCTGTTTCTTTTATTTTTTATTTTTTTTTTG